AAAGACATTTATATTGCTTTTTTACTCGAAGTACATTCAATTAAAAACAATATAATTTTTTCCTTTTTTTGACTATTTGGTCGTTAACTTTCATATTTATGTTATTATTTTAGGATTCGGATAGTTGAGGATGCCAACCATTCATTCCCATCTAGCAAGTAAAAGGATATTCATCAGAAATTCCAATTTAAAAAATTCAAACTTCAAGAAATTTCTTTGCTATAACATTCATATAATTAATTCAAATATTTTATTTGACTGAAATTTATAATTGTGGTCTAAATTTTTTTATTCAACGCATTCATTATATATTTAAAAAGATATTCATGTTGAATTGAGCAACATGAAAAGTTTACCCAAATTCTTAAGTTTTTCATACAAGCGCTTCAAATCCTAAATCACTTTAAATAAAGTCGACCCCCTTTCACTCTCCACACATAAAATCTCAAAAGTTTATTTTTTGTGAGCTTCAATAGTAGCAAAAAAGAGCTTTACTACACCTGAGTATATCTATATGCCTAATAAAGTAAATTTTTTCTTTTCTTTTCCTTCTTTAAGATGCATTTATATATCTATATACCTAACAATGTCATTTATGCTACTTGTTGTCAAGAATTACAATCAATTAAAAACAACACACTTTTCCTTCTTTGACGATTTTGTCATTCACTTTCATAATTATTTTATTATTTTAGGATTCGAAAATTTTAGGATGCCGGCCATTCATTCCCATCGGCAATTAAAAGGCTATTCACTAATTGAGGTACTCCAATTTAAAAAATCTAATATTCGAGAAGTTTCTTAGCTATAACTTTCATATAATTAATTTATATATATTGTCTAATCACATTAGTCTAAATTACTTAATTTTCTTACCGCATTCATTAAATATTTTTTAAAAAATATTAATGCTGAATTGAACAACACAAAATGTTGACACAAAATCTTAATTTTGTAATACTTACGCTTCAAATACTGAATCGCTATAAATAGAGTCATCCGGTTTTCACTCTCCAAACATAAAATCTCAAAAGCTCCTTCTTTTGAAGGCTTAAATAGTAACAAGAAATAGCTTTACTTCACTTTAGTATGTCTATATACCCAACAAAGTCATTTCTTTCATTTCTTTTCCCCCTTTTAGATGCATTTATATGTCCATCTTAACCTAACAAAGTCATTAAAACTGTTTGTTGACTCAAAATACATTCAATTAAAAACAACATAGTTTTTCATGTTTTTAACTATTTTACTGTTCACTTTCTTAATGATGTTATTATTTTAGGATACAGACATTTGAGGATGCTGGCTATACATTCCCATCCGGTAAGTAAAAGTGTATTGATTAATTAAGGTACTCCAATTTAAAAAATTCAATCTTCCTGAAGTGTCTTAGCTGTAATTTTATATAGTCAATTCTAATATTTTCTTTTATTGGATATATTAACTTTAGTCTAAATTCTTTCTTAACAAATTCATTATATATTTTTTAAAATGTTAATGTTGAATTGAGAAAAATAAAATGTTTACCCAAATTCTTAATTTGTTCATACTTACGCTTCAAATCCTCAATCACTATAAATAAAATCCTCCCCTTTCACTCTCCACACACAAAATCTCATAGCCTTTTTCTTTTGAGAGCTTTAGTAGTAGCAACAAAGAGCTTTACTTCACTTGAGTATGTCTATGCAGCCAACAAGGTGATTTCTTTCATTTCTTTTCCTCCTTTTAGATTCATGTCTATATACAAAACGATGTCATTAAAACTGCATGTTGACTCGAAATACATTCAATTAAAAACAATATACTTTCTTAATAATATTATTATTTTAGGATTCAGAGATTTGAAGATGCCGGACATACTTTCCCATCCTGCAAATAAATCTGTATTCACAAATTTTTGTACTCCGATTTAAAATATTCAAACATCGAGAAGTGTTTTAGCCGTAATTTTCACATAATTAATTCGAATTTTTTTTTTACAGAACCTAATACATTGAATAAAAATCTTTAATTTTCTTAACTTATTTATTAAATATTTTAAAAAATATTAATGTTGAATTGAGCAAACATAAAATGTTGACCATTCTTAATTTTTTATACTTACACTTCTAATCATGAAACAGTATGAATAAAGTCATCCCTCTTTCACTCTGACGCATAATATCTCAAAAGTTTTTTATTTTGAGTGCTTCAATAGTAGAAAGAAAGAGTTTTACTTCACTTTAGTATGTCTATAAACCTTACAAAGTCATTTATTTCATTTTCTTTCATTTTTTTCAAGATGCCGTTATATGTCTGTGTATATACCTAAGAAAGTCATTTATCTTGCTTGTTGACTCAAATTAGAGTTAATTAAAAGCAATACATGTTTTCCTTTTGATTATTTTATCGTTCACTTTCATAATTAAGTTATTATCTTAAGATTCGGAAAGTTGAAAACATCGACCATTAATCCCCATTCGGAAAGTAAAAGGTATTCATATTTCGGGTACTCCAATTTAAAAAATTCAAACTTCGAGAAGTTTCTTAACAATCACTTTCATATAATTAATTCAAATATTTTTTTGACCAAATATAATACCTTTAGTCTAAATTAATGAATTTTCTTAACACATTCCTTAAAAGTTATAAAATATTAATGTTTGATTAAGCAACATAAAATGTTGACCCAAATTTTTTAATTTTTTCATACTTAAGCTTCAAATCTTGAATAACTATAAATTAGGTCCTTTTCCTTTCACTCTCTTTACACAAAATGTAAAAATCTTTTTCTTTTGAGAGCTACAATAATAGAAAGAAAGAACTTTAGTTCACTTAAGTATGTCTATATATCCAACATGTCATTTTTTTAATTTCTTATCCTCCTTTTAGATGTATTTATATGTCTATATACCTAACGAAGTCATTAAAACTTTTTGTCGACTCGAGATACATTCAATTAAAAGCAATAAATTTTTTCATGTTTTGGATGATTTTATTGTTCACTTTCCTAATTATGTTATTATTCTAAAATTCGGAGATTTGAGGATGTCGTCCATACATTCTCATCTGGCATGTAAAAGTATATTCACTAATTTAGGTACCAATTTAAAAAATTTAAACTTCGAGAAGTGTCTTAGCCGTATTTTCACATAATTAATTCAAGTATTTGATTTTACCAAATATATTAACTTTCGACTAAATTCTTTAATTTTGTTAACGCATTTATTATATATTTTTAAAAACATTAATGTAGACCTAAGCAACATAAAAGTTGACCCAGAGTCTTAATTTTTTCATACTTACACTTCAAATCTAGAATCACCATAAATAAAGTCGTCCCCTTTTCACTCTTTACATTTAAAATCTCAAGGGATTCAATAGTAGCAAGAAAGATCTTTACTTCATTTGAGTATATCTATAAACCCAAGAATGTCATTCTTTCATTTCTTTTCCTCCTTTTCGATGTATTTATATGTTTATATACATAACAAAGTCATTAAAACAACTTGTTGACTAGACATGCATTCAATAAAACAATACACTTTTTCGTGTTTTACGGTTCACTTCATTAATTATGTTATTATTTTTGGTTCACATATTTAAGGATGCCGACTATTCATTCCCATCCGGCAAGTAAAAGTGTATTAACTAATTCGGTACACCGATTTACAAAAATTCAAACTTCGAGAAGTGTCTTAGCCGTAATTTTTACATAATTAATTGAAATATTTTGTTTGACCAAATCTAATAACTTTAGTATAAATTCATTAATTTTCTTAACAAATTCATTATATACATTAAAAATATTAATGTTGAATTGAGCAACATAAAAACTTGACCGAAATTCTTAATTTTGTCATACTTATGCTTCTAATCATGAATCACTATAAATAAAGTGCCCCCCCCCCCTCCCCCCCACTCTCCACACATAAAATCTCAAAAGCTCTTTTTTTTTAGAGCTTCAATAGTTGCAAGAAAGATCTTTACTTCACTTGAGTATGTATATATACCCAATAAAGTTATTTATTTTATTTTTTTTCCTCCATTTAGATACATTTATTATGTCTATATACCTAACAAAATCATTTCTAATGTTTTTTGACTCGAATTACAGGAGATTAGTAACAATACACTTTTGCTTTTAATTTTTTTTGACTATTTTCTCATTCACTTTTATAATTTTTTTAATTATTTAAGGATTTGGAAAGTTGAGGATGCTAGCCATTCATTCCAATCCATCAATTACAAGGGTATTCACTAATTCGGGTATTGCATTTAAAAAAATTCAAGTTTCTAGAAATTTCTTAGCCATAATTGTCATACAATTAATTCAAATATTTTGTTTGACCGAATCTAATAAATTTATTATAAAATCTTTAATTTTCCTAACACATTTATTAAAATAGTAAAAAAAAAGAGTAAATGTCGCGTTGAGGAACTTTATATGTTGATCAAAGTTCTTAATTTTTTTCATGCTAACGCTTCAAATCTTGTGATGAGAATATAAGATCAATTAATATTTTCTGTTAGTAACAATCTCTAAGTAACAATTTCTGTTTCTTTCTATTTCCAATAGTTAATTAATTAGAGTAAAGTTAGTTGGCAAGGTTGTTAGTTTTATATATAGGTTCATATTGTAATCTTCTTCATTTACTTCACATTCAATACAATATACAGTTTTCCTCTCTCAATTCAGTTACAACTCTAGTTAAAGGTCATCAATGGTGTAAAGGAATGAATTTCATCAATGGTGATAATCTTTAAATGGTATCAGAGCATTGGTTAATGTATCGTAGTTGTTCTTGCTTCGAAATCGATTCGTAAGCTTCTTCTCCTCCTGTGTTGTTTTCAATCGATTCGATTAACTGATTGAGAGATTGTGTTGTGAATTCTCTGTTTCTGCCATTTTCCTTTTTCTTCTTGTTTCTTTCTTGATTGAGAAAACACATTTCGTAGTTGGAGATTAGCAAGTTTCTAGTTGTTTTCGTGTTAGATTTTCTCATAAATATTCGAACACAATGACTGGTACTCAAGTTGGAGGTGATTCTGCTTCTAGTTCAACTACATCTTGATTGGATTTCACCAGTCCTTTTTACCTGCATCCCTCAGAAAAGGCAGAATCATGCCTGTTACTTGGACTTTTAGATGGTACTGGTATAGATCTTGGCGAAGAGCAGTTCTCTGAGCATTGTCAGTTAAAAGCAAAACAGGTTTTATTAATGTAGCAATTGTGAAACCTGTTTCTACTGATCCTAATTTAATGCAATGGGAGAGATGTGATGCTATGGTCACATCTTCGATCTTAAATTCCTTGTCTCAAGAATTGCGTGATAGCCTGCAATATGTGAATAATGCCAATGAGTTATGGGCAGAGTTAGAGGAAAGATACGATCAAACCAATGGGTGTAAATTGTATCAATTACAGAAGGAGAATAATGAACTTGTTCAAGGTACTTTAGACATCACTAAGTATTACACAACAATGAAAAAGTTGTGGGAGGAAATGAGCACAGTTGATATCAACTCTCAGTGCACATGTGCGTGCTGTTGTTGGGGTAAAACAAAGTTACAGAAAGCTTAACAAGATAGAAGGTTGATACATTTTTTAATGGGGTTAAATGTAATGTATACGACTATTATAGGTAGCATTCTTATGATGAGCACTCTTCCTAGCAAGGCTCAAGCCTTTGCCATTCTATGCCAAAAAGAAAAGCAGAGAGGAGTGAAGCCTCATAATCATACAACCTTGGATTCTACTTCTCTCAATGCTTATGGACAATATAATAATAATGTAGGTTACAAGGGATTCAGAACAAATTATAGTTTATCTAACGGAGCTGGAACTAGTTCTGGTAATACAAGCAATAATAATGTGTCTAGAGGGAATTCAAGTATCAACAGGTCTTTTTTAGTCTGTGACTATTGCAAGAAATCAGGACACACGAGCGATAGATATTATAAACTTCATGGATATCCATCCAATCTAAAGTTTCAAAAGGGAAAAGGAACAAGTTCTGCAACATATATGTGTGCTTCTGATATGAATACACAACAATCTGAGGAAGAGTCTGAAATGGGAAAGTAGATGCCACTTAACCTGTCCAAAGATCAGTATGAACAACAACTCAACATCATGGGAACTATACAAGCTGGAAATGGAGGTTTTAATTTTGATAATTCAAATAGCATGCTAAATGGGGCTGTGAACTTGGCAGGTATACATGCTTGTTATTCCTCAATCAATGATATAGGTGATGTTTCTTGAAAATGTGTTATGCTGACTGCTGGCTCTTGGATAATAGATTTAGGAGCATCACATCATATGACCTATGATAAAACCTATCTCACAAACATTAAAACACTCCCATATTCTTTCTTAATATCACTCCCAAATGGTTACAAGGTTGAAGTGACTCAAGTTGGTGATGCTTGTTTAAATCTAGTTTTAACTCTAAGTAAAGTGTTATTTGTGCCTAGCTTCAAGTTTAATCTCATTTCTGTTCATTTTTTGGCATTACAAATTAATGGAGTAATCAGTTTTGATAAATTTTCTTGTTTGTTGGAGGGACCTTTTCTGAAGAGCCCTCTGGAACTTGTTAAAGCCAAGAATGGTCTGTATTTCTTGTGTCAAAAATGTCACGAGTGCTGCAAGTCTGCTGAGGAAAACTCACCTCATTCTAATTGTCGTCTTGTCTAAAAATTTCACATTGCATCTTCTGTAAGACAATCTCCAATTTCTACTACAAATAAAGCAGATTGTAAGACTATTCCTTCTTCTTATTCTAATGATAAATGTCTTTCATTTGCTGATGTCTCTAGTCACACTTATAGTGATGAACTCTTGTGGGATGCTAGATTAGGCCATGTACCCTTTGTAAAGATGAGGAATATTTTCTCCTAAACAACCTTTTACATGCAATATATTCCCTATGGTTAGGCAAACTAGAATTCTTTTTCCAGAAAGCACATCTACAACTACCACAATCTTTGAATTACTCTATGTTTATTTATGGGGCCATATCATATTCCTACTCATGATGGTTACCATTATTTTCTTACTATGGTGGATGACTACAGTAGGTCCACTTTGACCGAGTTACTAAGGTGCAAAAGTAATGCTCTTCAAGCCATAAAAGCCCTTTGTATCTCTCATAGACAACCAATTTCAAACTAGGTTGAAATCCATAAGATCACACAATGGTTTAGAATTTACCTCATCAGAAGCTGTATATTTTTTTCAAACCAAAGGCATTATACACCAAAGGACCTGTCCATATACACCTCAACAAAATGGAATGGTAGAGAGGAAACATAAATACTTGCTTGAAACAGCAAGAGCACTCTTATTTCAATCAAAATTACCCATGAGATACTGGGGTGAGTGTGTATTAACTGCCACATATATAATAAACATATTTCCTACTAAAATTCTTTAGAGCAAATCTCCATATGAGATATTATACCATAAACAACCTACATATTCTCATCTTAAGAGTTTTGGTTTTCATTGTTTTCCAACTGTCTTAAAAACTAACAAGGATAAACTTGAACCAAGAACCACTCTCCATGTTTTTGTTGGCTACCCATTCAATACAAAAGGCTACAAATTCCTTAATCTAGCTACAAAGAAAGTTCACATATCTAGAGATGTTATTTTCCATGAGAAAATTTTTCCTTTTTTTCTTGCTCCTGATGACTCTAGTTTCAGTTCTATTTTACAAATGCTCACTCATTCTGTTAATATGCCTTGTATGCCTGGAAAAATAAACATTTTTGTTGTTGATGAAATGCTGGACAATCTTACACCACATGAAGTCACTGACAATCAAGTAACCAATATTACTTACATATATGAAACAACATCTGTTGATATACATGATTCTACACCACAAGAACCACAAAAACTTAGAAGAACTTCCAGAACAATAAATACTCCTAGTTATATAAAGGATTACCTAAGTTACATTCCCTCAATGCTTTTGTGTCTCACAATAAACTTGTATGTTTCAATAGTCTTTGTTCTGATAGCCAACAGCTAGTCACAACCATTTCACATGAATGTGAACCTAATTCTTTTGAAGAGGCAATATTGCACCCTGCTTGGCAGCAAGCCATGACACATGAGTTTGAAGCTTTTTATGCTAATGATACTTGGGAAATGGTCATGTTACCTGATGGAAAAAAGGCTATTGGTTGTAAATGAGTATACAAAATAAAGCATAAAGCTGATGGAAGTATAGAGAGATTCAAGGTTAGGCTGGTAATAAAAGGTTATACACAACAAGCTGGAGTAGATTACTCTGAAACATTTTCACCTGTGGTGAAAATGACTACTGCTAGAACACTGATTTCGTTAGCTGTTAAGAAAGGTTGGAATTTCTATCAACTAGATGTGAATAATGCATTTTTACATGGTGATTTACATGAGGAAGTTTACATGGTACCTCCAGAAGTTCTTACAACGGGTTGTGATAACATGGTGTGCAAATTAAAGAAATCCTTGTATGTCCTGAAGCAGGCATGTAGGCAATGGTATGAGAAGCTAGCAAACAGTTTGTGTTCAAGCGGGTATCAACATTCAGATAGTGACTATTCTTTGTTTTACAAAAAGAATGGGAGTTCTTTGGTATTTGTTGCTATATAGGTGGATGGTATAATCATGACAGGTAATGATGTTGCTGAAATCAATTCTTTAAAGTGTTTCCTGCATAACCAATTCAGAATAAAAGACTTGGGTAAACTACACTATTTCTTAGGCCTAGAAATATTGTACAGACATGATGGTGTTCTTATCTCTCAGAGGAAATTCACTTCTGATCTTCTGAAGGATTTTGATGTGTTTAGTTACAAAACTACTTCATCGCCACTTGATTGCACTAAAATTTAAAAGCCACAGATGGTAAACTCTTAACTGATCCTACTCAATATAGGAAGTTAATTGGCAAGCTCAATTTTCTAACTAATACTAGAATGGACATATCCTATAGTGTCCAACATTTGAGTGAGTTCATGCAATCACCCAGGGAAACACCTTTGAAAGCAGCCTACCATGTACTCACATACTTGAAAAAGGATCCAACCATGGGTATTTTTATTTCAAACAAGGCTGATCTTACTGTCAGTGCTTACTGTGACTCTGATTGGGCTGCTTGTCTTGAATCAAGGAGGTCTGTTAGTGGTTACCTAGTAGTTATGGGAGACAGTCCTATCAGCTGGAAATCTAAGAAGCAGGCAACAATATCATTATCATTTTCTGATGCTGAATATAGGGAAATAAGACAAGTTGTAGGAGAGCTAGTGTGGCTTGAAAGGTTGCTAAGTGAATTGGATGTAAAATGGCCGTGCCTATACATGTTCTTTGTTACAGTCAAGCAACAGTTCACATTGCCAAGAATCCAGTTTTTCATGAACGGACAAAATATATTGAAATTGATTGCCATTTGTAAGAAATAAACTTCATCAAGGTTTAATCACACTCCATCATATATCCACTAATTCACAATTGGCAGACATCTTCATCAAAGTTTTGACTGGGGTTAAACACACTTCTCTATTACACATGTTGTCTGTAATGACATCACCTCCAAGTTGAGGGGGGTGATGAGAATATAAGATCAATTAATAGTTTCTGTTAGTATCAAGCTGTTAGTAACAATTTCTATTTCTTTCTATTTCCAATAGTTAGTTAATAAGAGTAAATTTAGTTAGCAAGGTTGTTAGTTTTATATATAGGTTCATATTGTAATCTTCTTCACTTGATTCAAATTCAATACAATATACATTTTTCCTCTCTCAATTCAGTTAAAACTCTAATTGAAGGTCATCAATGGTGTCAAGGAATGAAGTTCATCAATTGTCATAATCTTTTCATCCTGAATCACAATAACAAAAGTCGTCCCCCTTAACTCTCCGCACATAAAATCTCAAAAACTCTTGTTTTGAGCTTAAATAGTATCAAGAAAGAACTTTACTTAACTTGAGTATATCTATATACCCAACAAAGTCATTTCTTAAATTTTTTTTCCTTCTTTTAGATGAATTTATTATGTCTATATACCTAACAAAATCATTTATACTTCTTGTTGACTTGAACTACATTCAATTAAAAAGAATACAATATTTCCTTGTTTTGACGATTTTGTCGTCCATTCATTCCCATCTAGATAGTAAAAGGGTATTCACTAATTCAGAAACTCCAATTTAAAAAATTCGAACTACGATAAGTTTCTTAGTTATAACTTTCATATAATTAATATTTTGTTTGACCGAATCTAAAAACGTAAGTCTAAATTCATTAATTTTGTTAACGCATTCATTATTTATATAAAAAAAATTAAAGTTGAATTGAGCAACATAAAAAGTTGACCCAAATTCTTATTTTTTTTTCATAATTACGATTCAAATACTGAATAACTATAAATAAAAATTTTACCCCTTTCACTCTCCACAAATAAAATCTCAAAAAAATATTCTTTTGAAAGTTTCAATAGTAGCAAGAAAGAGTTTTACTTCACTTGAGTATATCTCTAACAAATAATTTCTTTTTGCACTGTAAGGTTCATTTATATGGCTATATTCCTAACAAATTCATTTAAACTGTTTGTTGACTCGAATTATAGTAAATTAAAAACGACACACTTTTTCCTTTTTTGACGATTTTGTTGTTTACTTTCATAATTATGTTTTTATTTTAGGATTCGGAAAGTTGAGGATATCGGCAATTCATTCCAATCCAGCGAGTAAAAGGGTATTCACTAATTCGGGTATTGCAATTTTAAAAATTCAAACTTCAAGAAATTTCATTGCCATAACTTTCATTTAATTAATTTAAATATTTTGTTTAACCCAATCTGATAACTTTATTCTAAATTCTTTAATTTTCTTAACAAATATATTAAATAGTTTAAAAAAATATTTTTGTTGAATTGAGCAACATGAATTGTTGATCCAAATTCTTAATTTTTTCATACTTACGCTTCAAATTCCGAATCACTATAAATAAGTTTGTCCCCCTTTCAATCTCCACACACAAATCTCAAAAGCTCTTTGTTTTGAGAGCTTCAATAGTAGCAAAAAGGACCTTTA